TATGTGACTAGGTTCCATGACTGATCTCTGGCTGAAATTTCCCATGGATACACGACCATGGAAAAGCCATGGATATCCCCATCCTAAATTTCCTCTATTATTTACTCGCCTAAAACAACACACATCCAATCCTGAGGCTGTGACTATTAGGTCATTACCAAATGTTTGAAATGGTTAATTGAGCGAGATGTTTGTATGTGCTACAGTCTAGATTGTTGTGGCCTAAAACATGCATTAATTATCCTCTCAGTCTTCAATGTGAAGCATTGGCATTTAAATTGTTTATGACTTTGGCATCAATAGGTTATATATAATTAACTATTCATAGTCATGTATTGGCATGTACATATATGTACATAATTATATTAATAACAGTTTAGTAGTTTGAAATAAGTTAGCATGTTATTAATATCAAAACTAAGTCTTAAAAATTTATCTTAGTGCCTGGTTGAGTATCTTGCTCATAGGTCTTCAATAAGTTGTCATTTTAGTTAAAAGATAAAAACTACTTTTCTAATTAATAAAGAGACTTGGGAGTCTTTATTGAAACTGGTATAAAAATTTGGAAGGAAATAGACAGTAAAGTGTTATTTTAGTTATACGAGAAGCTTGGACCAATTTAGTTGTGAGTGATGTGCTTCTGAAATCGAAGTTGCACATCTACTTCTCCCTTATGGCATTTAGTAATCATTTAAAAATAGAATAATGTGGAATGAAGCCTAAATAATAAATATAGTTGCTCTATTGTTCATAACTCTGTGTTTAAATATTAGTGGATACTTTTCAAATGAAAAGAAGATGGTTTAATTAGATGCTGTTATCTTTCTAATTTTACTGGCAATTTAAAACATAAAATAAAATTTCCTGACTTAAAAACAAAGGTCATTTAATTTCCTTTGCTTTACTCAGTAATTTTTAATACTTTAATAAAAAATAACATGCTAAAATTTATATAGACTTCCTCCATTTTAATCTCTTTACCTTATTAAATATACTCTCCTTACTGATATTAAATATAAAAATGAACCATGAATCACTTTTTAAAAAATAATATACAATCAGTTATAACTTCAAGTGTCATAAATGCAAAAGAAAGCTATTGGAATCTGATTTTTGTGGCAAAGAATAACATCTCGATGCTGTTTTTACAAATAAAGCTGATTCTTCTACATGCATATGTATAGTATAATATAATATATATGTGGAATACAGTAAATGTAATAATGTATACCTATACCTAGTATTTTTACTCAACAACAAGGATCATTCATTCACTTAATTATCACAGGTTGACTGCTGATAATATATGAAGTACTGTGCTGGAGAAAATGATTTGACATGTAACATAACTGAGGATTTGACATAACAAAGTGTTTTTACATCAACTTCATTGTCTTTGAACTCTTCTGATGAAGAAAACCGTAACCTTCACATTTTGTTCATGCATGGTATAGTTGATCTCATATGGGTTTTGACTCCAGATTAACCCGATTTCAAATAACAGTTGTGTTACTTAGTGGATATGTAATTGATGTTAGTTACTTAAACTTTTCAAGCCTCAGTTTGCTCCTCTGTGGAACAGCAACAATAATGTAGTTGGGATTTTTTTTGGGGGGGTCATTATTGCATGATGTTTACACACACATCCACACACTGCTTAGCATGATAACTAATAAATCATAAGTACTCCTCAAAATGCAATTCTCTTTTTTAAGTCTACTCCCAAGGACATTTAGAGAGAGAGGAAGGGAGGAAAAGAGAGAGTGAGAGAGAGAGAAAAGGAGAGATGTGAGAGAAACGTCAATTGTGAGAATGGTTCCCTTCTCATACAGGTGCTGACAGGGGAATCGAACCATTGAACCTGCAGCCTGCAAAAGGTAATTCTTAATAAAACTCAATACTATAATTCAGCAAAGATCACGTACGATGATGCCATATTAGTTTTTTAGAGCCGCAGTACAAATGACCATAAATGTAGCAGCTTAAATGACACAAATGTGTGGCGTTACAGTTTTATAGGTCATGACTCCGACACGGTCTCACCTGGCTAAAATCGGAAGGGCTGTGTTTCTTTCCAGAGGCTCCAGGGGAGACCCTGTTTGCTTGCTGATCTAGCCACCTGCGGCCCCTGCATTCCTTGGCGTGTGACCTCTTTTAAGAAGGCAGTGAGGGGAAGAGGTGGGTGATGGTACGAAAAGAGGTACAAAGTTCAAGGTATAAAATAAATAAGCAAGGGGATGTAGTAAACAGCACAGGAAATACCGTCAATAATGCGATAACCGCATGGTGACAGAGGGTTACTATTGCGGTGATCACATCAGGATGTATATAAATGTCGAATCGCTAGGTTATACACCTGAAACAAGTATAAAATTGTATGCCAACTTTACATTAATAAAAAATTTCAAAAATAAAAAATATAGGCAGGAACAGTAGATGAGTCCTTACATTCATCTCTGCCCACGGCTAAAAAAGATTCACCACTTTTAAGACATGTACTTAGAATGGACCCCCACAGTCAATCCAGGATAATCTCCCCTCAATCATATCTGCAAAGTCCCTTTGCCATGTGAAGTGACCATCAGTGAGCTATGATTCTGCCTACTGCGGGTGCAATGGGACCACTGGAAGGCACCCACACTGTGGCACAAAGGGCAGGGACTTCAGTGTCACTGCTGCTTATACAGGCCATTCCTGGCAACATGTAAGCCAATTCTAGAGAGGCTTCCCATTTTTCCCCTACCTGCATGAACGCATGCTTAGAATAAGTTCTATTACTTTAGAAACAATCATAGCACTCTGTAAGGGAACAGTGTGCAAGTAGAATCAGAAGTAAAAATAAGTTCACTTATGCTGAAAATCCTGGGCTCTCTGAAACTACCTTCATCACATGATCACTACATCCTACGTCTGCAACTACCTGGAGCTTCATTGTTTAACCATTTTATGTTTTCTGGCAATGGCACATTGCATGTCCTTGTAAAGTCTTGGCAAGATGACCTAACTGGTTTGGGCAGCTTCACCTGGATAAAGTAAACGGATGATTCTCAGTGGATCCATAGTTCAGTCAGGCCCCTCTGTCACATTTTCATCTCATAAACAAAAGATACGGTAAAAATTTTAAATAAATCATTTCACCGCTATATTGAATTCCTTTCTTCTTATAAAGGAAACAATACACTTGCCATTTTAATAAGCCTTAAAATCAAATGGAAAATCCATTTGACCTAGTCTTAAAGTCAAAAAATTGAAAGCAACTTCATTCAAAGTTTACTATATAATTTTTATATATATCTACAAAGTTTCAGACATTATCTTAGGCACCAGAGCCTTGACAGATGAAATGAATAATCTTTACTGCACTCAAAGAGGCTACACTATAGCAAAAGTTAAAAACCCTAAATACTCTACCATCCCTCATTTAAGCAATAAGGAACAGAATTTGAAAATGATTTAAATGTGACCAGTTCTACCTTTGATGCATAATCCACCTTCACATCCAATAGAGTAGAATTCCTTAGCCAGATTGGGGTTTTGAGATTAGAGAGGTCAGGCCATTCAGAAGAACAGCGACTCCAGTTATCCTGGTGATCCAAGAGAGAAAGGGGTGCGAAAGGTAGCAAGCGCACTAAAATACCAGAGGGGCAATGACAGATGTCGCTAGGACTCCCTTGTCAAACACACTGGTTTGTCGTCTCAGCTCAGCTTGTGAGCTGACGATCTTTGCCCAACTGCTGGACTGTTCTAAGCTTCAAACACCCCATTCGCAAAGCACGGAGGCAACGTGGCATCAAGGGTAAGAAGCCAGCCTTCTGGCTTCAGAACCCATTCAGGGTTTTTTCAGTGTGGTTCTGCTGTCTTCAACCTGGGCAAGCTTGAACACATCACATCCTGCAATGTCAATCCAATTAATATGGGAATAATAATATCTATCGCAAATGTTTGTTGTCAGAAGTAAATGGGGATAGAGGAAAAGGAAAAAGGACTCCCGGACAGGGACAACAGTGTGGTGATTGATGGGGGGTGGGCGTACAAGGGGACTGAAAAAGAAGTACATGGAGTATATGGAACAGGTGGGACAGTGTCTGGTAGCAGGACGCAGCCCATAGATGGTAACTAGCATGATGACAAGTAGTTTGCAAGTGTACTTCAAATAATAATAATAAATGCAAGTCAATTTCCACATAAATGGCCTTGTTATGAATGCCTGCATTTTAATCATAATTCTGCATTTTCAAAGTTTCTGTAACCATGGACTCTGCCCTCATGCCCCAACAACGGTATGGTTAATTTTTCCCTATTTCAGAAAGTGGTAATTTGACTTTGAAAAGGTCCACATGGTTCAGGATCATATATTAAAGTGGAAATGAAGAAAGAATTCAAACTCAGTGACCCCCTGGCTCTCTGTTCACTGCCTTACCTGTTAAATTATATCACCTTGGCAGTTTAACAGTACACTGAAAACATTTTCAAGGGAGAATATTTATATACACAACTCTTGACACCATAAATATTTATCTGAATTTACCCTGCTCCAGGCCAATCAACACCTTATGAAACTTATGATTTAAAAGGCTTGGGTTTTTATTCACGCAATGTTAATATAATGGAAAACAATTCAGTATCTCCAGCAGGAATGATTTTACAGGCATTAAGCAGGTGGAAGACTACATAAACTTTACCTTTCTTGACATTTCAAAATAACGAATATAGTTTGAAAGCATGCACATTTTGTATCATTTAAATAGTGGTACTATTAATGATAAACAAGGTTTGTAAGTAATGTGACTTTGAAGCGTTTTGTTTACGTTGCATTAGGTCCGTGTGCACTTTGATAAATGCTAATGGCAGGTACCAACATGCATTCCTTTCATTGCAGTGGTGGAACATTCTGTACTATTCCAAATAACCCTTTTAACCTTGTGAAAAATGAATAAGAAACTAGAAGGTGTAGAGCACTAAAGCATAATAAGAGCAGAAATAAGTGAGCTCAGCTCCAGTTCATTCTCAGGCTACACAGAGAGAAATCATGCCGGGCAAGTACATTTCCTGAGGGCCTTTACTCTTCCATGGCACTTTCCCCTTAGACTAGTCAATAGAGAATGTCCTTCTTTTTTACTACTCACGGTTTCATAGCAGTTGTCTGGCTTCCTCTCTTATCTGATGTGTTTCTGTACTGCCATACTGAATTGGAAATATGATTAGGAAGTAGTTACTAATCTATTCCACAAGTATGCTTTTAGCACCAGGTGCCATTTATGATAATACACAGGACAGCTGTCCCTGTTCTCCAGAAACTTACAGTCCAGTGGCGGAAGCAGAAAACTGAGGAGGAGATTTCAATACAAACAAGCAAAGGCAGGCACTGTGATAAGGTCTAAGGCATGGGTAAGTAGGGTGTTGTGGAAATATACGGAAGTAAAGTGTAAATAACCCCAAGGATTCTAATGCTAGGCAGAGGGCACCTACTGAGCAAGGCACTGAATTAGGACACTATGGAACACAAATTTAGTGCCCAAGTGCTTCACTGTGATTTGGACTCCCTTTCCTTTTCTCTAAAACCAAACTGCTCCTTCCTAGAGCTAAAACTTACTAGGTGCAATGCTAAATTTGTTTTCTCTTCCTTTTCTCAATCTTAGTCCTCACCCCCTGCATTCTCTCTCTCAGCAAACGGCCGTAACTCATTCAATTACTAAATTTAAATTGGAGGCAGGGGCATGCTTAGGGGTCCTTCCTGCCACTCCTCTCACTCTACAACCATAGAACAATGTTTGGGAAGGTGAGTGAGACGAGTTCATGAAGATTTTGTGTCAGAGGGCTGAAAACCATGGGCATTATCCTGTAGACAATTGTGAGTCATTAAATCATGCTCAGCATTGCCTTGTCATATGAGTAAATGAGAGAACATATTTAAAATTTACTTAGTAAAAATATGCATTGACTGATTTTAATAATTGCCTAGGAAACATTATAAAGGAGAATATTTTTTTAAATCATAGAGTATATCCTAGATCCAAATATTAATTGGAGGACATCATTGATCCCATTTGAGGATATACACACATATTTAATATATACACATATATATACACACACGTGTATGCATATATAGAATATTCTAAAGCCAAATATGAATGACCATAATTTTTTGAAATTAGCATACCAGATGACACACATAAAGTAGTGTTTTTTAAAGTGGTTATTTCAGTGGGCAGTATTGATAAGCATTTGCAAGCAAGGACTCTTGCATCAAACAGGACTTCATTGACATACTACCTATACAGCTAGCCTGCTGTGTGACCCACAGGGAATTTAGCTTTGCTGAGTTTCAACATTCTCATCTTCAAAATGCATATAAATCAAACCTTTCAGATTTTTTATGAGGGTTCCATAAGGTAACATAACTGAAGCACTGAATATATGCTAAGAATTCAACGAATGATTGCTACAACTGTACTCATGTCCAGATGGAAGCCAAGGAAGAGAATGGCATTTTGCCTAAGAAGGGGTAGTTTTAAAGCTTCATTTGTTTTGGGATTTTTTTTTTTTTAGCATTTAAGGGAATGATAATCCTTCAAAATGGGAAGTCTAAAGGATGTTTTCAGCAGAATGAAAATAACTCCAGAGGAAAGGCCCAAGTGGAAGAAGAAGAATCATAAGCAAAGACACCAATGAATTTACAATGAAATCTAAGTAAGTATTGAATATATATAATAATAAAAATCCATAATTTCTCAAATTAAAAATGTAACAGAACTAAATCAGATAAATCAGTGGTAGGTAAATTGGAAAGAAGGTATGATCAGAGTTAAAGCATTCTAAGGTATTTTTATTTTTCAGGAGGAAAGTGAGTATTTTTATAATTCTAAACTTTGTTAAATATGCAGTTTAAAATAAATAGGAAAACTTCTAGGAGACAAGACACAAAAAGCAAAACTGCTAAACAAGTTGAGAGAAAAAATGATAGAAATTAGAGGAAGTAAGCTCAGTTTAAAAGAAGACAAGAAAGGTAAAAGAAATACACACACCTATAAAAACAAAACAAAAGTTGATACAGTTATGGTGGTACTTCAAACATAATGTACACTATGAAATATTATGATTAGAAAAGTAGAAACATTCAACATTAATGAGTTTAGCATGCAACCCCAACATTCAGATAAAGAACAGAAATGAAAACAAAAAAAGAGGAAAGGAATATCAAAGATGAAATCATAACTTAATAAAAAGAATCAACAAAGCCAAAGTTGAAAAGATTTGTAAAATCTAATGATACAAGGTGGGGCAAAGGTAGGTGTACAGCTGTGAGTGTGAAAAATACAGTTTTTCTTATATTATTATATATTAATTATTGTGTTATTTTCCATAAAAACAACTGTAAAACTACTTTTATTCCCCCAAAGCAAACTTTACACTTAAAGGCTAAATGTTGAGTGTTTTCTTTTTAAGATAAAGCAACTTTATTACACAGATAATCATTACAATCACCTCTATTACTAAAAAAAGTAAAATAAAATTGCACTCAAGTTTATGTAAAACTTGAGTGCATACTCAAAAATCAGTTTTAGACAGATTAAAGACTAAAATTTGTTAGGTTTTGAAGACAGTCTGGGAGCATATCTTTATGACTTCAGATTGGGACAGATTTCTTAAGACTCTAAAAGCTTAACCTATAAAGAAAAATATTGACAAATTCAACTTCATTAAATTTTCAGATTTGTGTTCATCAAAAGATGCTATAAAGGCAACAAAGTAAGAGCCAGGAAATAAAGTATTTGCTGCATGTATAACTGACTAAGGACTAGTGTGCATACTACATAAAGAATGTCTACATATCGGTATGAAAAAGGAAATCCAATGAGAACAAGGGCAAAAAGGCCCATCCTCAAGTTTCACACGCAATCATGGAAGAGGTCACATTTTACTACATAACCACAACGTCATCTGGTTTCCTAGCTCCTTCAAATCGAAACAAGATTGATTCAAACTCCCATTTCATGCATTGTGGGTATTTAAAGCCTTCCTTAAATACATCTAGATTCTTGTGAATGGAAGAGGTAAAGGGTATGTCTTAAGGGGTATGTCTTAAATCCTCACAGTCTCCTCTGATATAATTTTCTGACTCCAGGTTAAATTTTTCATGCTCCTTCATGGTTTTCCTTTTAAAAAAAATACAATTGATACACAGCATTGTTTTAGTTTTAGCTGTACAGCAGAATGATTTGGTATTTGCATATATTGTGAAACCATTACAGAACAGAAAGAGTTTGACCACTTGGCACTAACAGAGCCAAGCACTAGACACTGAGAACTGCAGTGGAGAAATATTGGCTATTTTATTATGAACGAGACTACCCAGGAGAACAGGAAGCTAATGTTCAAATGCCTGAACATTCCAATGGTGCGTAGGTTACAGATTACATAGTGCAAGATAACAAGCATCTTGGTTAGGAAATTTTGGGTTGTGCTGGGAGCAAATTTGTCAGTGGTAAGCTAAGAGTAATAAATCATTTCTTCAGGCCCCAAGGACAGTTCTGAGCTCTTTTCTGGCATCCCTCTGTCTAGTCTCTTGGGAAAGTAGCCAGCAGATCTTCCCATCCTTGGGCTCAGGAACTGAAGCATAACTTACTCAAGATGTTATCTTTAGCCCACCAGAACTCCACACTGTGTGGCCATTTGTCAGGCTGTCTTCTGCTGCCTTGGGGGATGTTGATGATTTGGGAGGGAAAGTAGATGGGGCGGGGGGAGAGAGAAAGAGAGAGAGAGAGATTTCAAGAAAGATGATTTCTAGAGCAAGGATTTAAAATTAAGTTTAATCCCAATCAGAAGAATCCTTGGTTTCAAAATGATCACCATAGAAAGTCTAGCTAACATCCATCACCACACACAGTTACCATTTTTGTTGTTGGAATGAGAACTTCTAGGATCTCCTCCAGAGAGCCATAGCCTCAGGTCTCCCCCCACCCTCTCGAATGTAATTCCCTGAGAGGAATTCTAGTGCCAGCTGCTGACATAACAAATGTTCACCCTGTTGTATTTAAAAGAAAGAATAAGACAGGCACTAGGACCCATAGTAAGTAATGGTCTTTGTAAAGATAACTCATACTTTGTGATTTGGGGGAACACTCAAATTTTGAACACTCTGTTAAAAATTAATTTGAAAGGTGAGCTATATTAGACCATACCCCCACATATTTAACTTTTTGACTATATTGTGAGAAATTATTATTTGTCTAGACATGTCTTTTGGAGTCCAGTATTTTAATCCATTCCTTCTATTAGTATCATCAACCTATTTACATATCTATCTATCCTTCATATAACCCTAGGTGACTTCAGATTAGAAATCTGTTTTCTTTCTTAACATAGTTAAATGCTATTTATTTTCACGTGAACTTTATGAAGTATATTTTTTTCCATTGAAGAACATCTGTGTTTTAGGGTTGACTGATTACTATATTTTACAAGTAATTCTTAAAGTTGATTTTTAAAAATTAGACACACTCTGTAGACCCGTAATCTTTGATCCCTCTTCCTCATCTCCAGCCCTGAGCCCTGAGCAGTTTTCATTAGTGTGGTATCCACTGTGGGTGCCGCCATCTGCCCATCTCCAGATAACGGCTGGTTAGGATCGGAAAAGGGTGACCAAAGTGACTGTGATTAGTCATGACTGTGATTGACAAGTTTCCTAAACCACTTCCTCTTCAGGTAATACTGTCCCTTGCTTCTGTGACTTCCTCATTTCACACAGCACTTAAAATTATTCTCAAAAGCAAATGACATTCCAGTGACAAAAAGAAGAGCAAACAACAAAACTTAAGTCAAACATTTAAAAGGATTACCATTATAAATACTTGCAACAAAGTGTAAGTCACTTTTATTATTGAGGTGGGATTGAACTTGACTCTAAACAACGGTATCAACATTCATGCTCCTGTCCCTTCAATACCTCACTTCTCTTTCCGTGTGTTCACCGTCTTGCCTTAGGCTACCGCCCATACACCGCTTGGGAAGTGACAACTAGCAAAACTCCCAGGCATAGCCGTTTCTCTCCCCAGCTTTCTAGAACTTCTCTTAAACAGTCTTCACTATAATGATGTTTACAAATGTAGACATGGAAAGTTAGTTGGCTGCCCAAAGGAAAATAAATTTCTTATTACGTGATTTTAAGACTTCTCATTCTGAGACTAGAGCACCATCCATGTGAGAAAAGGAAAATTACCACAAGCTAACGTTGATCGCGGTTACTTCTGACAAAAAACAAGACCTCCCTGTCACCTTATTTCCCTGCAGCCACAGGGCCATAACCATAAACCAGTCAAAGCTTTGTTTAGAAGAACAGCAAGGCTCACCTAAAGAAGTGATTAAAAATTCAGCCTGCAGTGACCCATTTAGAAAATTTCAAGTCTTCTAAATTCCAGTATGGCAGGAATATGTTAAAGAGTTATACCCGTGGTAGAATTTAGGATACTCTGTTTTCTTTGACAGAAAAGTAGATGAGAATAGAAAAAAATAAATTTTAAAGCTTCCCAACTATTTTAGCTTTACTTGTCTCTTTTCTCACCCAAGAACACATAAACAGGAAGCAGAAAAACTACATAAGTGAAGAGTGAAGACAACAAATTACCTCCTTCAGGATCTGAAAATGACCCCTGAAACTGAGTGCTGCCACCAAGCCAAGAACAAGATCATCATTGCTCTTGACAAGACATGCATGGTTTTTCACAGTGACTACTAATTTTTTTAGTCTTAAAATTAGCCATCAATCTAGAAATGAATCCCATGGTTTTCAAATAAATCATTTGTTTTTAAAAAGTACTAGTTTTTTTTTCTGAAAAAGCTACATATAGTATGATTTCAAATACATGACATTTCAGGGGGGAAAGTAAAACTGTGGAAATAGTAAAAACACCCGTGGTTGTCAGGCGCTTGGGGGGAAGGGAGGGATGGATAGGTGCAGCACAGGATTTTTAGGGCTATATGTTCTTAACGGCAAATTCATGCCATTCATTACACATTTGTCAAAATCCTTAGAATGTACAGCACCATGAGTTAACCCTAATGTGAGTGAGGGATCTAGGGTGATAATGATGTGCCAGTATAGGTTCACCAGCTGTAACAAATGTGTCTTTCTGGTGTTGGATGTTGGTAGTGGGGGGACTGTGCAAGTATGGGGGTCAGAGTATATGGGAAGGCTCCGTAATCTCAACTCAAATTTGCTGTGAACCTAAAACTTCTGTGAAAACAAAGCTGATTAAAAAAGTGTAGTGGGGAGCTCAGAAAGTACTGAAGTAAGAGATGGCAGTTACTGTTCTACAAAACCTCATATTAAGGAATCATAAGTAATTGCAATAAATATCTTAAAAGGAACTATAAATGACACCAGGAATAAAGGTTAGCCTCAAACGGAAATTCTTCTACAAAAAAACCATAACCACGTGAATGCATGCAAAACAGAAGCGTTACAAAGTCCTGTGTGTGAGTCTCTGCATGAGCTCTGTTGTAAGAAGAGGTTACAAGAGAAGTGGACCTGTTCAGTGTGTCCAGCTTGTAAAGGGAACTGTGCTTTAGCAATAAAACTTCCTCAACTGAACTTTTAAGTTTGAATCTATTATTTTTTTTTCAATGGTGTTGAGTCAGTTCCTCTCTGTAATCTTGTTCTGAGAAGCCAGAACTTTGAGAGGTTCAAAAGGCTGGAAGGTCAGGTTGTCCCAGCGTTTCAGAATGTGCACGCTGACGTAACACTCAGCTACTTGGAAAGAAAAAGCAACCTTGTTTGAGGCAGCCTCATGGAATAAACTCAAAATCTATGTTCCCTTTTTCTTTTTTACTTTCGCATCCATTTAAAAATGTCTTTTAACAACACACCCTTCAAGTAGCCATCTTAGGAATTATCATCTTCATTGAAAGGGCCTAAGAAAATGGAGAGGGTTAGCGACAAGTTCATACAGGCCGTCTAATACCAAAAGAATATGTTGGAGAATAAAAATTGATGGACAAATTACCTCTGCCTCCATGTATATAAAAACATGGAATTATTTCTTATGTCACCAACTTAACACTTTGCATATTCTTCATATGATAAGTTCCTTAAAATAAGTCTATCTTGTCCAAAGGAATTAATGGCTCCTCAATCCATACCCTCTTGTTTAGTGTTCCATGCTCTGTAAGCTCTCTAAACAAGTTATTCTAATAATACTATTTAAATACTCTAAAACTAGACACTTCGTAATGTATATCTCTACCGTATGGAGTGAAAATAACTTTAGAGTACTTCTGCTTTCCAGTGAGATCATTAGGGGGAGAGAATAAGTTAAGCACTTCCTAAGGTCCTCTAGGATGCACAGGTATTTGGGGTATGCATATGAATACTTTAGGAGATGTTTAATTGGAGTCAAGTTCTGGAAAGTTGGATGCCTAAAAGGTCAAGAATGGGAAACCGCTGTAAGGAGAATAAAGAATGTGACTGAATACAGAAAGAAACTGTAGGGCATGTGAGTATAAATTTTAAAACTACCTACAAATGAGAAATAGAAAACAATGCCAGTTTCAGGTTCAATTAAAACAGCTTTCACAATTTCTAGCTATCACACATGAGCAGAAGAACGCTGAGTATGAAACATTACTCAGTAAAAAAATATAATTCTTAAAGAAAGAACACTTTGAAATTATATCACTTTCACAAAGCTTCAAAAATAATCTTACCATGTAATTTATAAAAGTACAAAACTATCCAATATCCTCTAGTCCAGTAGAAAGGAAACACACCTAAAGCTTATTTTTTATATATATATATTATATATATTATGTTTTTGTATGTATATATAATATATATAATGTGTATGTATGTATGTATACATATACATATGTATGTATACATAATATATTATGTATATATAATATATATATTCTTTTCTATTTCTTATTGGCCAAATTTTAACCATAAGAAATTCTAAAGTCATTCAATTCTTCTAAAAAATACATAAAATAAAATATTCTATATTTCAATGTATTCACACCATTTCAGAAAAATAAATAATTGGAATGGATTATGTTGATCTAAGAGCTCAGATACCAGCAAGAGCAGAAGGAGAGATTGACGGCTAAGAACCTTTTTCTATCTCCCAACACTACCATGAATGATAGAGCTAAGTCACAAATCAAAGAGATATAATGCAATTTACAGTATTTTTGAAACATATCATCCCATTCTTTAAATCCTGAGAATGACAGAGCATTTATTCTTTCATGAAATTATGTTCACAATGAAAGCTTTCAAAGAAAAACAGAGAGAAATGTTCTAGACACAGGCTGGTCTTCCCACTTCCGATTTTGTGGGGCTGAATTCTCATGCCACCCCGATCCCTTACTGCCCCAAGCTCTGCTTTTTGGCAATCCAGGCGATCCAGGTGATACATATAGAATGCATTCTACATCTTATTGTTCTCTGGTGTTCTAGAGAATACAACCGGAGGATTCACCCCTCATCAGCGCTAGGGGTTAGGCCCCTCGACAGAGAGGTCTGAAGGTTGTCATGAAGGCTGAGAAGGCCTGAGGAGAGGGCAGGCGATGTGCTCTCCAGCCTTCCAGCTTCCAAGACGCCAGCTCTGCCTCGGCCTTCTTCACTGGGCCTCAGCGTAAGTCTTGTTTCAAGAATTGGTTCAGCTGCCTCACAGGGTTCAAAAGCCCTGTCCTAGAGAACTTGATCTGTGCATTCAAACTCATTTGGTTGACTGCCTTGTTTCTATACTCATTAATATACTGGGGAAAACTGGCTTATAGATCTTTATAGATCAGCAATAGAGAGCAAGAGACTAAGTGAAAGAATCTAATCAATCTAAAATAGGCTGAGTCGCTCCAAGTATTTCATAAAGAAATTTTAAAAATAGCGGGTGTCACTTGGGGAAACCCTCGGCATAGTTTATAAAAGACATTTCCTAATTCTCACCTTCAAAAGTTTATTCCCCTTCTACTCACATGTCTTCTGATGCCTGATATCTTGTGTTTGCTGTTTTTGTGTCCACATTTGTCCTGTTATCTGAATGGCTTACTTTTTTCTATTGACGTTAGTAAGTTGCTATTTGCAATGATAAAGACTTCTTATTAATGTATTATCTTATTACTTAAAGGCACAGGAGTGTGATTTTTGAGATATGGAAGAAAAAATGCATCGGAATCAAACTTTTAAGAAAAATTGACTCTGGCAAATTTTGTAAAGACTCTCAAAGTATAAGGTATGTCTGTTTATTTTCCAACAAGTATTCATGGTGCTTTTACTGAAATTCATACAGGCATGTAAAGGACACTCCAAGGAGACTCAAAATCGCAGGGCAGAGGCGTAGCTGGTGCAGTTGTAATTACCAGCCTTGGAGACCCAGACTCTCAATTCTGTCCATTTACTCAGAAGGAGGGGGCTCTGTAATGCAAAGCAAAGATCTCAGAAAGTGGCGTCAAAGACACAGGCTGGAGTTCTGGCTACACCTCCTATCAGCCATTTGTGTTCTTAAGCAAGCGACTTAATCTCCTAGAAAATAAAAAACAAAAACAAAGAAAGGTCAAGAAATAATACCTGCCTCACCAGGGCTGTTGCGAAGGCCAGATGAGACGGTGCGTATAAAAGGATTTTGTACAGGATCCTGGGCTAAACACGTGTTGGTTAGATTGGCTTCTGATGGAAGGGAGAGTCCCGGGAGAAAGGAGACTTCTACAAGCCAGTGGGCACCCAGCAGGGATTCCCTGCAGGCAGCCTTTGAAGGCTGATAAGCATCTCCAACAGCTGTGCAGGAGAACACAAGGACCTAGAGAAGGGGCAAAGGTCACGCCCTTTGCCCTTCTGCTCTCAGCTCAAAGAACATCTGCTAAAGATCCCCTGCAGGGAAATACAGCTCTAAGGACAGAGGCCCAGGGAATAATTTGGGGATCCCAACTCCAAGAGCCCTAACAACCCTGAAGCAGCTAGCTTTGGACCCTAAATTTATTTTAGTTGTTTCATATTACTTTAATTAATTCCGCTTTATTTTCTACTCTGCTGGAATTTAAAAGTTATATGTAACATATGTACAAGAATATTTGTAATTTATAATCTTTGTTCATTTATATATTATATAGTTATGCTAAATGTGCACATATACTATAGACATCTGTGATATATACCTCTAAATAACATGTGGGTTGCATATCTAAAGGGGGAAAAATATCTGGAATAATATTTATCATGATATTAGCAATGTTATCCCCTGGAAGATGAAATTATGAGTGACTTATTTTCATTTTGCTTATCTCTATTTTTTCAAGTGTTTCCTTTGAAAACGAAATTTTCTGAGAATGAGAAAGTCACAATAGAGCTTCTAATTAAAATCTATTGCCTGTGTTAGTTCAGTCTGTTTTAATTTATCTTTTACATTATTAAGTAATTTAATGAACTTTCTTTTTTTAAGTCTATTTTTATTTCAATTGGGCTTTCTCGTAAGTTGCTTACTTTACCTATTTCTCTTACTACTTTTGACCTGTATTTTCTATCATTTCTTCTTATATTTTTTCTTGTCCTTTAGTTCCCCAGCACCATTTGTTGTGTTTTTCATATTCTCCCCTTTGTGGAATATGTCACCCACAAAGCAGAGGATTGTGTCCTTAAGGACTGTTGGTGACTCCACCAAGGAGACTAGACCTTTTCCCTCCCGATTAGCTCAGTGGTCACATCCACTGGCCCCCTACTGTCTCAAAGTAGAACTCCTTAATTTTTCAACTACTAAGAGAAAACTAGAGAGGTTAATAGACTAGAACTATTCAGCAAGCAAATATTAAATCCATCCCTA